TAGTTTATAGAGATTTTGATTTAAAAAAATGATTTCACCAAATAAGAAGAAAGAAATATAGAATAGTCTGACAATGAGAACAGATGGATTTGTAGCAGTTTTGGTTGAACCATGTGAATGACATTATATGTAATCTCATGTGTTGTCAGATTTGTGAGATGGATCACAGAGAAGCTGTAAATGTCTGTAAAATGAATGGAGTTAAAGCTGTTTCTGTGTTGAATGAGGTTGATTAGCTTTAGCAGCCATCTTGAACTGAGTTGAAGATGGACATCCACTGATTATTTTCTGAAAGTTAAAAAAAAGATTTGTCCAGTGATTCATGATATATTTTGCTAAATGACAAACACCATTGATTGTAACATGAGCTGGCAAACCATGTGTAGCATTAATGCTTAGCTACTAAGTTACCAAACTCAAGCTCATAAGCTGCATTACAGCTAYTTTTATCTTTCCTAAGATCAGTTGTTTATGGTGGCCAGTTTGAACTGGATTGACTCCAAAACCTAATAATAAACATACACCCACTGAGTGTTTTCTGAAAGTTTTACAAAATATGTCCTGTGGTTCAAGAGATACTTTGCTAACAGACAAACACAGTTGAGTTAATGGCAAAAGACAACTAGTTATAAAATAGATTTCATGTGATCAGTCAGTTCTCTGTTGTGAATGTGGTTGTCAACTTTCAGAAAGTGAAGGCACACTGAATGAGGTGCAGAGAGAGAGAAAATGCAGGAAAATTGCTTTTAGCTAACTTTTTTCTTTTTTGTTGGCCTTTTTTTCTACTTTTAGCTAGTTGTTTGCTGTGTTTAACATTTAGCTATTATATTGCTACTTTTTGCAAGCTTTTTGCTAGTGCTCTGCTTCTTTTCTTAGCTTTAAGAAMTCAGATTCAGTGCTCCACAGTCTCACTATATTTTCACAGAAAATGTATTTCTCTGGTTTGAGTTTCAGATCTGTTCTTTAAAAAATGTTCAATTTACATTTTTGAATTTTTTTAATTACAGCTGTGGTTGTTTTTAAAGAGCTCTAAAATTAGTAGTAGAAAAAAAATCTGATAGAACAACTAACGTCTTACTAGCTTCAGTTAACCAAAGTAAGTAAAGCAATAAACATTTTTTCACTGACTCCCAAAAATAAGTGTTTCTTCTCTAAAAATATACGAGCATCTTTTCTTAGTYGCAAAAACAGAACTATTTGTTCTTTTAAGGAACTGTTAGAAACCTTTGTTGTGAATGACTCTCAGCTACTGCCACACYAAATGTTAGCTAAATATCTACCTAAAGGCCCTGTCACTATAACATTCTAGACAASGAATGCCAACTAATGAACATTTTAAAGACATCTATGTTGAAAATGGAATAAAAAATTTAACTGGAAGCTTTTCAAGCCGTGTATACATACCGTAATGCTAACAAACTGTTCAAATATATACCTCTTTCAATAATTTMGAAAAAAAAATCCTAAGTTGTCTTAAACATTATATTGTGACAGGACCTGTAACTGTGCCACTCATCCCTTAATGGGGCTGACACTATAAGTTCATTAGTTGTGAATGTTTTTCTAATGATTAGTTTCTGAAAGTTTCATTCAAGTCTAACCATAGGTTCATGAGATATTTTCTAAAGTTAGAGACAAATACTCATACAGACATGAACAAAAACATCATCACCCATTYGTTTTCATCAAATAATCATTAAACCAGAAACACCATAAAACCTTTYATGCCTTTTATTTTCCATATTATTTTCCTTCATGCTTGTATCTTGTCACCTCTCTGCTCAGGTGGTTTATTTCACAGCCACGTTTCCCTACGTGGTCCTGGTCATCCTTCTGATCAGAGGAGTGACCCTCCCCGGAGCCGCCGACGGCATTCTTTATTTTATCACTCCTAAATGGGAGAAACTGAACGACGCAAAGGTACACAAGTCTTGCTCCTTTTTTTTTTTTTTTACCCAATCACAGTTGTTAGGTAACAGCATGGTTAAGTCTTCTGTCTTTTTTGTTGTTCTTGTTCTTTTCCCTCCCTGTTTCCACATCTGTGCTTCGTCCTCAGGTGTGGAAAGATGCAGCCACTCAGATCTTCTTCTCYCTGTCGGCTGCGTGGGGAGGCCTCATCACGCTCTCCTCCTACAATAAGTTCCACAATAACTGCTACAGGTAAACACTCAAAAGGTAAACTATTCTTCTGTAAGACATATTTAACCTGTCACCACAGATGCATGATATTGTATCTGGATGTCTGGTAGAATTGTCTGGAAAATAAATGAACTTTTAGTATTTGTGTGTATTTTTCTCACTTACTCACATTGCTTTGTTCTCAAATGTTATGTTATTATTTCCGTTTAAATAAAATGTAAGTTTATTAGAATAAAGCAGTGCACCACCCAGACACATTTCAGAACCTTATAATCACAAACGGTTTTTCTTCTTACCACCAGAGGGCCCTGTTGAACCTTTTATCTTTGTTGATGTAAGCTAGTGTTGGCCTGTGCCTTTATATGAAAAAAACATATGAGTATTAKATGTTTTAAATATTGTAACACTCCYATAGGCACAAAGAATRTTTGCTTATGAAACCTTTCACCACTCCCTTTTTCCTTCTTTTCTTCTCAGGGATACCATTATAGTGACGTGTACAAACAGTGCTACCAGTATATTTGCTGGTTTTGTCATCTTCTCTGTCATTGGTTTCATGGCCCAGGAGCTGAAGGTGCCAATAGAGCAGGTTGCAGATGAGGGTAAGCAAACCAAACCAGCAGAAGCAGCAAACATCCTCAGTGAAACACGCACTATTTTTA